GCTGGCCTCGAACTCACAGAGATCCGCCTGGCTCTGCCTTCCAAGTGCTGGGATTAAAGGCATGTGCCACCACCGCCCGGCTTAAATTTATTTTTATATACGGCCATCTGTACATATCATGTACATATGTGCTTACTGTATAAATGGTTTATGTGATACAAAACTGCCTGTAACTGCATGTTCACATAATTGAAATCACTAGCGATTTTCTTTTAGTTCATAATGTTAGAGGTTAGGCTTGGCCACCAGATCTGATACACCAAGTAAAGAGATGAATAATGCTGAGGGGCAACTAGAGGAAATTTGATCATCGTGACCCCATTGAGGGGATGGGGAGGTCCAGTAACCTCAAGTGTGTCTTCAGAGTACTACCATGAGCTTTGAAGTTACAGAAAAGAAATGTGAAGCACAAAAGATTTCCATAATTAAGCAGTCTTAGTGAGGGTATAGTCTCTAAGTATTGTCTGAGTTTCTGGCTTTGGAGATGACTGCTTTGTTGTTCTTGAAATACAAAGTGACTACAGGTTTAGGACAACTGAACCCGCTGTTGGCAGCTTTGAAGGGTGAAAGAAGTTGGATAGGCACTTCTTAAATGATCACCGTGCCTAAGCAGAGGACTGAGCGGGTAATCCCAAAGAAAGGAAACGAACACAAACAAAGGCAGATGCCAGACTTTCATCCTGCCTTTCTTTGTCTTTCAGGCTGGAAGGAGAAGTTGATGTTTTTGTACCAAGGTTGATCTCTAAGTCCCTGCATAAAATGGTTTAAATTTTTTGTTTGTTTGTTTTGTTTTCTGAGACAGGGTTTCTCTGTGTACCTTTGGAGTCTGTCCTGGAACTTGCTCTGTGGACCAGGCTGGCATTGAACTCACAGAGATTCACCTGCCTCTGCCTCCCAAGTGCTGGGATTAAAGGTGTGTGCCACCACTGCCCGGCTTTAAATCTTAAACAAATGATTAATTTAAATTAATTGGTGAGAGGAACTAGACATGTCTCTAGGACTGTTAAACATGTTTTGTCTGTGTTTCATATATAGTTTTTTTTAACTAAAATATAGTTAGTTACTTGGTTCAGAAAAAAGTTTTCTAAACTTCATAAAAATAAGACAGAAACAAACCATCAGATATACAAAATGAATACACAGAATTATAGATATTAAGCACATTTTTTGAAAAGATGGTTAAAGGAAAAGGTGATGCTTTTAGACAAGAAAGAGTTTCACATGGTAAAATAATATTTTGTGTTAAAATGGAAAACAAAATGGGAGTGTAAGAATGTAGTGATAGAATCAAGCCACTGCTGTGCAGCAGGGTCAGCCCCTCACAGATGCTGACAGTCACCCTACACAGTCATTGTCTGTGAGTCCTAAGTGCCACATCATCATCCTGGAAAGTGAGTTTATACCAAAAGGGTGCCACATCTGGTTCTCCACCCACTTCTGTCTTCAGCCTAGGGATCAGGGAGTCTGCCTGCAGGCTTTGGCTGTGAACTTTCAGAGAGTAAGAACAGACTTCTACTTCTGTCACTTGGGCTCTGAGTCTCCTTAGACACCCATCCTCTATGCTGTCTGTCTCGCGAATATTCAGAATAGCACCACTCATAGGTGCTAACTGTGAAAAGAATATAGATATACATAAATGATTAATAGATTTATCAAATGTATCCGTTCTAACAGATGCACTAACATAATATTATTAGACAGTAAAGAAGAAATGAAAGACCATACATACTACCAGCACAGACGAACCTTTAAAATATTGTAAGTATGAGCTGGCTTTTTGGAGCCCATTACCTGTGGTGGGATGCCTTGCTCACCCTTGATGCAGAGGGGAGGGGCTTGGATCTGCCTCAACTGAATGTACTAGGCTTTGCTGACTCCCTGTGGGAGGACTTACCTTTTTGGAAGAGGGGATGGGGGTATGCTGGGTGGAAGGCTGTGGGGGAGCAAGAGGAGGGATGAGAGGGGGATCTGTGGTTGGTATCTAAAATGAATAAAAAATTCTTAATAAAAACAAACAAACAAAAATATTATGAGCAAAATAAGCTAATTACAAGAATTCCACATGCTTCATGATGTTGTCAACAACAAAATCCATGGAGACAGAGGGTAAATTAGTGGTTGCCATTAACTGGTGGTGAGGGCTATCAGGGGTGGAGAACGGGAATGCATAGTGACTGTGAATGGATAGAGTTTCTTTTTTAGGATGCTGATGGTGTTCTAAAATAAGCTGTTGAGGGAACAACTTTGTGAATGTATTACATACTAGTGAATTATGTACTACTTTTTTTGCAATGCTGGGGGATTGAACCTCCTAGGCAAGTATTCTATCACTAACTGAGTTACATCCTCACCCTCAACTCTACACTTTTTGTAGGTAAGTTTTAAAGAATAGGGATAAAATATGTATTTTAAATGTGTAATTTCTTATTTCCATGTAAGAATAAAATATTGCCTCTCTATGGTGGGAAAGTTGAATTGTGTCAAGGCAACAACCACAGCTCTCGTCTTAAAGGGAATAAGAGATGCTTTATTTTGGAGCCACTATGAGTGATTGGGGCCTGGCAGATTTAGGTTACCAGAAATTCCATGTTCCAATGTGGAAGCAGTTTCATAAAGTTTTATAGATTCACAGAACGAAGAAAGTCATAAATCAAGGCAAGTCAAAAATACAGTGGTGGGTACATCAGAGAGGTGGTTACAGCAAGATGGGGGAAGCTTTCCTATGGGCCCAAGATGCTGTCTGATGACAGTCTTAGCTTTTGGGTTGGTGGAAGTTGGTGGTCTGCTGAGTTAATTGATTCCAAAGAATTGCTGTTAGTCACAGGATGTTATTTCTAATAAGGAATGGCTCTTGAGGGGTGGTGGTGGCTAAAGCTAGCTCAAGATAAGGTATTTAGACTCTGGACTTGCAACCTTCCAATCTCCCCACATCACTGCAGTTCTGATCAGCCAATCAGTCTCTGCGGACACAGCTTCTTTTCAGGCTGTCTCAGTCCAAACTGTGATGAGTCTTCCCTTTGCAGACGGTACTGTGTTCAGAACTCATCATTGGCCCCAGTGTTTGGCATAATCCAAACCCAGCTATGACAGTGGTCTAGTCAGGTCGGCAAAGGAAGTCAATATTGATCTTGTTTTTAGCACTATTCCTGTTTCCATGGATACTTTATGCTTGGGCCTTTTGAGCAAAGGCTCACACTGAATGAGAGGAAGAGGAACTAAATATCCACGGGGAAAAAAGCATTTCTTCCTGCCAACTGTTAAGTTTCTTCTAGAGTGGATGCCCCTAGTGGGTTTCATTAACTGAATATAGACATGAATGATCTAGACGGGAATGTGCCCTGTTGTATACATTTCAATCTCAAGATTCGTTCAAATGGGTAAAAACTGACAGAGCTTTCGTCAGGATATTCACCATGAGAGAGCCCTGTGGCGATTTCTTTGCTGCCATTTGTGCCTTCTCTGAGCACAGCAGAGGAGAGGAATCTGGCCTCTTCAACACTGCCTCTCCCGAGTAGCTTTCATTGACAAATGGTGCTTTTTCAGGCCTGAGAAAGTTGCTTAGCATAGCGCTCTCTCCCGAAATGTGAACTCTAAAACTTTGCCAAGATTGTAGCCACAAGTCCTTACTTGAAAAGGTAATAGAGACAGTCTTTAAAAGTCAGAGCTCAGCCGGGCGGTGGTGGCGCACGCCTTTAATCCCAGCACTTGGGAGGCAGAGCCAGGCGGATCTCTGTGAGTTCGAGGCCAGCCTGGACTACCAAGTGAGTTCCAGGAAAGGTGCAAAGCTACACAGAGAAACCCTGTCTCGAAAAACCAAAAAAAAAAAAAATAATAATAATAAAAAATAAAAGTCAGAGCTCAAGGCTGGCTTGGCTATTTTGTGAGCTGAGCACAGAAAATAACTTTACATTTTTATCATAATCTTTAGTAATCTGTAACGGAAAAGACACAAGGAATTACATGGTATTCTATGGAGGAAAACACATCACTAAAGGTTAAGTATTCCTTGCCAGAAATGCCTGGGCCCAGAAAGGCTTTAGGCTGCAGAGGGGTTTGGTCATTTGCCTTGTGTTTCGTCACTTGCCTAGGCTTTACCTGTTGAACATTCCTAATCTGAAATCCAAAATGCCTAAAAATGGACAGCAGGAAGGTTTTATCCATACTCTTTTAGAGGTCAAATGGGAGTCAGACAAAACCCTCTGGGGAAAGAAGGGAATCCTAAGAGCCTTAGCACCACGAGGACACCATTATAGACAGAGCTATTTGTAGGGAGTAAATATATTTAGGGCACAATGGGACAGCAAGGTTATTATGGTAGTATTCAAAGATCCGCTTCTCATCTCAGCTGCCTGCAGTTGTTCCTAGGGAACAGGTGGCAGCTATTCTCAGGCCTACCCTCGGCTGACAAGGTTCAGGGCCCTGCTACTCCACACACCCATACTTAGCATGGCATCTAATGTATTGTGCAATCCTGTGAGGCAAGTATCATCCCCGTTTCATAGATGATAAGATTGACCCTCACAGAAAGGGATGCATTATAAATGCCAAGTTTATTCCTTTAGCATTGAGTTCCAGAGGTAATGTGAGTTTTGCTTATTTTACATTCAAACAACAGGAATTTTAAATGTATTCATTGCCATCCTAAACTTGCTTAATAGTTCACTTGCTTGCTTTTGCTTTTTAAAAATTATTATTATGACAATCATAATCCATATTCTTTAACATAAAAAGAGCAATAGAATATTAGAGGACCCAGGAAAAGAGGCCACAATTTGAACTGATTTGGTTACAACCAGGAAAGATCGGAGGTGGGAAATCAGCAGGGGAATGGCAGAAAGTCTCCAACCACCTGATGGTTGAGTACATGTGGGACCTACGAAGGTTTGTCCTATAGTGATAAACATTATTAGCATTTTAATGTACACTTTCATAGTTTTCTTGTGCTCAGAAGCATTCTGCAAGCATATTTACATTTTATATAAACAGGCTGATACTGTATATGTAGTTCTGCAAACATTTTATTGTTATTTTACAATGTACATGCACGTGGGTGAAAATCCTGTACTAAAAGACAGAGAGCACTGTAGTTGGGTCAAAAGGACAGTGAACCTAAGCAGAGTTTCGGCTGAAGGTTGAAGCACAGGGCCTGGCAAGTATCTACCAGGGAAAGCAGGGCCAGCGGTGTTCGTTCTTATCTGAGAAATCAGAATCGAAGGCCAAAGGCATTAAAGGTATGGGATGTCATGTAGGCCCCTCTGGCCCCTGCCTCCGCCCCTCATTCCCCTGACTCCCCGCTGGCCCCTGGGGACTAGCGCATCCTGTGCATCTCTGGGCATCCAGTGAAAACCTCCCACTTTCTGCCTCTTCCTCAGCTCTTCCTGCGCCCTTGTCATGTCTGCACACTCTCTCATCATCTCCTCACTGCTTACATGCCTGTCCTGTAAGTCCTCCTGGGAGTTCTTGGGAGAATCGTCTGTCCCCCTGTCTGTTTTTCGTTTTGCTTTCCGGGGCACATAATCTTCAGCAGGGCGCTTTTCTGCGGCTCGTGCCTCGCTGCCTGGCTTTGCCTGGGAATCCTGCTTGCCCTCCCCTTGGCGCTTGCCCTCCCCTTCAGACTTTCCCTGCTTTTCTGACTTGCCCTCATCTTGTGGTTGTCCCTGCTCCTCTGGCTTTGCCCCCTCCCCTAGCTTCCCCTGGCGTGCTGGCTTCGCTTTCTTGTCTGGCTTCTCTTCCCCGTCTGACTTTTCTTCATCTTCAGACTCTACTTCATCTTCTGGCTTTCCCTCCTTTTCCAGCTTCCCTTCGTTTTCACCGCGGAGTTCTTCCATGTCAAGATTTCCCTCCTTTTCCTGTCCTGAGGGTAAAGGTGGGGAGACAGGAAGCAGAGAAGAGATGTGAGAGCCTGAGACACCAGGCAGAATACGGGCTCATTAACATCTGTCTTTACATCTGGCCCTTTCGTGGGGTCCCCGTGGCTGTCCCAGCCCTCTAAATGTGCTTTCTGCCTGCACCCCTCCTCCACCCTTGAGACAGCTATGCCGTGACAGATCCTGCCACCTTCTAGGTGCTCCTTCAGCGCAGCAAGCTCTCTGTGTGTTGCATGGGGTAGCTTGGGAGGGGACTGGCAGTGGGGTCCCAAATCCTGCCCGTGCCTCTGCCCACGTTGCCATTATCCACTGACCTGCAGGGATCCTGGGCAGGTCGATCCTCCTTTTCAGATGTCACAATGCGCTGGGAACAACAGAGGTGCAGACCTACGGACAGGACACGGGCAGGGGCTGCGTGGTCAGTGGATGCACAGAGACTGGGAACCTGTCCTGCAGCCCATGCTCATCACCCAACCTTTTCCTCCGTCACACACCCCCCGCATACCCCAGCCGCCATTTCTTTTCAGGCCTTGGGCATCAAACCGGGATGCTCTCCAAACTCCGTTTTACTCTATGTGCCCCCTTCGGACTCTGGAGGCAGCCTCCCCCACCCCCACCCTCCCTTTGGTCCGGGTCAGTTTGTCTTCATAGCCTGGAGTGCCAGTGGGTCACTTCAGAACACATCTGCGTCTCCCCGTCGCACTGCGGGCCCCCTCATCCCCCCCCCCCGCTCTAAAACGGATCAGGAGTGGGGTAAGGGAAGAGAGCCTGCTGCGGGGTCCTCCTTCCTCCCTTTTCCCGCCCGCCCGCTTGTCCCCTCCTCACCAATCTCCCCGATTCCTTCCCCCTCCCCTCCCGCTACCGCTGGTTCTAGCTGCCACCCCCACCACCCTTGTCAGGCTTTGCTGGCAGAGCCAGCCTTTCCGTACTGACCTGAGGAAAGCTGGGACAGGCCTGTGCGCCTTCTCCGGCGTGCAGAAACCCACTCGCAGCTGGTCTGCTGCTTAGGGTAGCTCAGGGAGCTGGTTCTGCGCGGTTGCCAGGACCAGACCGCAGGGCGGGCAAGCGGACGTGGGGGCTGGTGCCCACGTCTGCGCCTGGCCGGTCACGTGAACACCGCGTCACCCAAGCTCGCCCCCCCACATGCCTGACCCATCTCACCCTCCACCTCCCTAGGGGACTGAGATGAGGACTGTAGGAGGTGTGTAATGTCAAAGCTAGGAGGTGCCTGAGAAGAGTGGGAGGCTAGAGGATGTTTTACCTTGTGCATCTTTGATATGCACACATCTCTCTCACATATGCAGGTTACAGGTGGGACAGTCTATCAGAAATGGTATTTGACTTTGTCTATAGTGTTCAGCTCTTGAATCACAATAGCCTGCTTTCAAACCAAGTCGGGGTGCGGTAGCACACACCTTTACAGCACTCAGAAAGTTGAAACAAGAGTTCAAGACAAGGCTTGGCTACAGTGAGTTCAAGGGCAGTTCAGCTACCATCAGGACTCTAAACCAACCCACCCAGCCAGCCTTGCCTGAATATAGTGGCTGGTGGAGGAGCCTGCTGGGAAGCTGAGCTGCAATCTTAAGTGTTCCCTAGGATTCTGTTCCTGGCCTCTTCTGGTTCACATGCTTTCAATTTCTGTGTGATCTCATTCATTTGCCTTAAAATACTAATGATTCTCAAATATACATCTCCAGGCTATTTCCCCCTAATATCAGACTCCTGTTCCCTTCAGTAATAATAGGAGAGTGTTCTCCTATACCCCTTGAAACATAACCTAAGATGTTATTTTTTATTAATTTCATTGACATGATAGTTGCTTGATAAAATTTCATGCTGTTACATTCCATCACTTTCCCAGGATATTCTCATAGTATAAATTCTCTACTTATTAGTCAGTCAGTTGCCATCTCAGTTATCATATCCACTGCTGTGGTACCACAGTGCTAGTGTTCAAGTAATTATTGACTTGCTTAATAGTGGTCCCCAAACATAAAGTTTGTAATGATTGCAATTCATTTATGTTGAATAAAAGCCATAAAGCATTTATTTAAAAGAAAATCTGAGCATTCTTAACTTACTAACTAAAGAAAAAAATCATATGCCTAGGTTTCTAAGAACATTTGGGCATGGGGATGTGCCCAGTATGTGTAAGATTCTGAGTTCGATCTTTAACACTAAAAATAAAAATAATAAAATGGAATTCATCTTTTATTCATGAAATTGTGAGGAAATAAAGCGAGGTTCATGATAGTTTTAGTGTTGCATCTCAAACTAACAAACCCAATGGCTATAGAGCACGGCAAGGCGCTTAGTATATTATAGGAAAAGACATTACATTCATTACATTACAGTATTTGGTACTATCCAGTTTCAGATATCTGTTGTAAGTCTTGAATCTGATCCTCTATGTATAAAAGGGAGCTGATGAGTTGTGGGTTATTCATCAGAGAAGACTGCTCAGACATGGGTTTAAGCCAATAGAAAATCTATTAGGCAGCCAGAGACTACAGTTAACAAGAACACTTAGCTAGAAGCACAATTACAGAAGCAAAAAAGCAAGGTTAATACATGTAGAGACTTTCCTAGAACTGTGGACTTTGATGGATTAGGTCTTTGTTTTTGTTTTGGCAGGTGGTGCAGTCTGCATGCTGAGTTTTATGGTACTTCCACCATGGAGTCAGTTGTGCTAAGGTCTGGGGGCCTGTTACAAATGCAGAGGACTTTCAGGGAATCAAAGACAAAGAGAAAAAGGACTGAAGTAGCCAGAACTAAAGATTATGCTTTCAAAGAAACAAGAGAGATTGTTTTGTTTGGGCTTCTCAGCAGCAAAAATGGAAATATGAAGGCAATGGAATATTGTTTGTGTCTTGAGAGAAAATTTGAACTTGGAAATTGGCAGCCAGCAAAAAAAAAATGGACTTCAAAGCAAAGATGCCATAAAAATAAACAAAACTGCGAATAGTTTACAGGCAGCAGGTATGAAGTAATAGAAAACATTTTTCAGGTAACAAAATTATCTTAGATGGAAGAGTAGAGAGAGAAGGATAAACAAAAAAATGAAAAGGATAAATATCTGTAGAGGTTTAAAGCAATATTTTTATGGTAGTTTCGTCAACTTGACAGACTCTAGGATGCTCTGTGACAGCGGCCCTAAGTAAGCCCTCCTCCCTTAACTTGCTTTTGTCAGTTTATTTCATCACAGCACCAGAAAAGACACTTAAGATTAATCATCATGAATTATAAACCAACGAGCATGACAGTATTTATTGATGTTACCATGAAGCACAACAAAAACCCCCATAGATAGGGTCTTCTTGGGTGCTGGAGAGATGGCTCAATGGTTAAGAGCTCTTGTCCTTTCAGAGAACTCGGGTTCAATTCCCAGCACCCACATGGCAGCTCACAAATGTCTCTAACTCCAGTTCCAGGAGATCTAACACCCTCACACAATCAGGCATGCAGGCAAAACACCAATGTACATAAAATAATTTTTTAAAAGGGTCTTTTTTGATTTATTAAAATATATTTGCAAAACATGTACTGTGAATATTAAATAAAATGTTCAGGACCATAAGCATTGCTTTTGAAATTGAGAGTAAGACATCATTTCTCTTGTATTGATAAAAACATGCTACCAAGAAGCAACCTAGAAGGCTGGGTGGTGGTGGCACATGCCTTTAATCCCAGCACTCGGGAGGCAGAGCCAGGCAGATCTCTCTGAGTTTGAGGCCAGCCTGGTCTACAGAGTAAGCTCTAGGGGAGGCACCAAAACTACACAGAGAAATCCTGTCTCCAAAAACAAAAACAAAAACAAAAACAAACAAACAAACAATAACAACAAAAAAGAAGCACCTAGATATATTGGTTTAGAATTCCAGGTTACAGTCCATCATTGAGGGAAGTCAAAACAGCAGGATTGGTAGCGATTAGTTACATCCGCAGTCAAGAACATAGAGAGAATAAATGTATACATGCTTACTACTCAGCTATTTTTTCTACTCTTATGCAATCCAGCATGCAAGACCAGGGAATGGTGCTGTCCACTTTTAGGCTAGGCTTCCCACATCCATTAACATAATCAAGACAATCCCCAACAGACATGCACATTGACTAACCTGATCAAGACAATTTTTCATCGAGACTCTTTTCCTAGGGGATTCTAGATTGGGTCAACTAGAAATACTCAGATCATTCCAAAATTTTGCCACAGATCTTAGCCACTAGCAGGAAAGCAGAAGATGAAGAGACAAAGATAAAGGTGAAGATGGAGGGAAGATTCTAAAAGGAAGAAGCCAAATTGTCATGATTGAGTAACACTATTATGCAATTTAGGAAACCTAAGAGTTTATATATACATTTTATAACAATAAGTATTTTTAGCTAATCTGGACATCACAATATACAAAATTATATTTCATTTCTTTTTAAAAATAAGCAGCTTTATTGATATAAAATCTATCCTTTTTTTGAGACAAGGTTTTTCTATATAGCCAAGGCTAGCTTCAAACTTGTGATCTTCCTGTCCTTACCGTTACAAATGTGCAGACAATAGATATGAGCCATGGTGCCTAGTTTGAATTCTTCCTTTCAAAATGTGTGATTCAACAGTGATTAGTGTATCCACAAAACTGCACCCATCCCCAGTATTTCATTTTAGAAAATACTTTTCTCGCCCCCCCCCAAAAAAAAACCCAAATGCTGCCCCTCCCACCACCTTAGGAGTGAAAACGCTATTCCCTCTTTCAGACTCTGGAACCTACTAATATAGTATTATTACGAAGCAGGAAGTCTTACAACTTCAAAGCCAGCTTCTACTACATACCAAAGCCTGGTCTAAACAACAACAAACACTGGATTTGAGGCCATAGAGATGCCTCGATAAGTATGAAAAGCTGAAGATGATAAATATTATGTTATGTTATTATAGCATGCATACAGAAGTCAACAATTAATAGTAGAGAAAAACTGGAAAATCTCTACTTTTGGAAATTTTTTTTTTTGCTATTTTCTCGAGTCATTCTTTTTCTGTCTTCTGATACAATTTACTTCATCTTAGAGGAATCAAGCTTTACCAAGAGCTCGCATCTTGTTCCAATACAACTAGTAGGGGATTCTGTGACAGGAAAGTAAAGAGCCCACCACTATAAACAATGAGTAACTGCATTTGAATAATCAAAATGGTTCCAATATTTTTTAAAAAGCTTATGGTAAGTGGTGGGGATGGATTGGAACTCAGCATGACTCAATAGTTCATGATCTTCAATGCTCTGTTATCCCTTTCTCATATCTGAATCTCTATCTTGTGAATTGTACATGCAGTAGTGGAAAGCAGGGATTAGGGCAACTATTTTTTCGGCTCCATTTTGGAGACAAAAAGGCAGATATGAAATTCATTTTTGTGGCCTCCAAGCTCTTTTCTGGTAAAATTGACTATGCAGTTCAAGAAGGCTCTGTTCTCTGTATTTTTTTTCTTTGTAAAGAAGATCTAGTCTCTAGGGGAATGATTTTCATCAGAGACTTGTGCAAGAATTATGCTGGAATGGCAATTACCCAACTCCACCATCTTCTAAACTCCCTATGTTATGTAAATGATACAAAAATGCTTTTGAAGTTCAGAAGTCAAAGACGTAGAACCACTGAAAGAGATTTAACTTGAAGGTTGCTGAAGTCTTCCCTTCTTCCACATCTTACTACACTATGAATGCTCTTAGTAGAGCAGTAAATTACTACAGCAACAGCTGCAGAACACCCCGAGTCTCTGTGATGAGTGCTTAGGAAAGCCCAAAATCAGGAGAGGAAGCAAGAATACTGAAAAACTGAGCACTAAGAACAAAAGTGAACAGTCAAAACTCAACTCTTAATCAATGCAAGTACTTACACTAAAGACTTATTTTTTTTTTTACTTCATTTACTACTATCGGGTACAACATATCTGTCTTTTAACAAAAGAGACTTAAAAGATACATCAAAAGGAAAGGGATCATGTCTGAAGAGACAAAACATCCATCAGAACCATTCTCAGATATGGCAAAGCTCTCAAAACTGTCAGACAATGAATAACTGATCAGATTTTAAGGGTACTAGTGGGAAAAGTAGACAACATAAATGAATAGATAATATATCCACAGTAATGGAAACTCCAATGAGA